GCGCTCGTCCGAGGCCGAGCGGTCGTCGAGGCTGCCCCGGGGGCGCCCCGCGACGGTCCGGGATGGGGTCAGGGAGAGCTCCGGGGCTGGACCTAAACGGAGTCTCGGGGACTTCGTGGGCCGTTTTCGTTTCGATTTCGTGCTGCGTGAAAGGGGAAACGAGGGAAAACGAGGGCAAAGGGAAGACAAAACGAGGGAAAACGAAAACAACACGAGAACGAGAAACACCGTTTGGGTTCAGCCCTGGGGAGCTCCACCTGTCGAGGGGAGAGACGGCTCCACCGCGACGACGTTCACCGGCGTTGCAGTGCGGGCCGCCGCCACTTCTAAACTCGGGCCACGGGGCGGGCTGCCAGAGAGGAGCGGGCCGGGCAGGGAGCAGGAGCGGGCCGGGGAGCGGAGCAGAGGAGCGTCAAGTCGGGCCTGTCCCCCTACAGGGGATTTTCGACGAAAAAAAATACCCCCCAAATGCCCCCCAAAAAGGTCAAACAATACTAAAAAAATGGGCCCCAGACTATTTTTGGATTATTTTGGATTATTTTGGGGGTATTTTTTATTTTCGTCGAAAATCCCGCTGTAGGGGGACAGGTCCGACCTAAGAGGAGCGAGATGGGGGAGGGGGAGAGGGAGCGGGGACCACAGGAGGGGGCGGAGCGATCCGCGAGCGGGGGGGGGAGAAGTGAGGAGGAGAAGGCCTTCTCCGAAGGCAGCGGGGCTTCTCGGCAGCCCGGGGGGCCCTCGGAGAGGTTTTGTTGTGTTTGTGGGGGAGGCTTTTGCAAACTTCTCGGCCCGAAGGCGGGGGCCATGCCCCGGCAGGCGAAGAACGAGCGGTCGGGAGTCGATGCTTCCCCCCTCGATGCTTCCCCCTCGAGCATCCTGAAGAGAGGCCGAGAGGAGGAGGAGGAGGAGGAGGAGGAGGAGGAGGAGAAAAAGAAGGAGGAGGAGGAGGAGGAGGAGGAGGAGGAGGAGGAGGGAGAGGAAGAGGAGGAGGCGGAGGAGGAGGAGGCCCGCGTCTTCTCACTTCTCCCCCCGCGGGCGCGTCGCCGAGTGCTGCCAGACAGCGTCGCCGACTCTCGAGGGAGGAAGCACAAGGACCACGGCCGTGAGGTGTCGCGGGCCCGCGGTGGCATGTCGCCGACGGTCCAGGCTGGCAAAGATGGGGAGGGCAGCCATCAGGGAAGGAAAAGGTACCCA